AAGGCAAGATTTTCAACTGTTCAAACAAAAAAGTAGAAATAAAAAAGAAAAAGCTTCAGGAACTGGATCTTGGGGGCATTGTTCTTGGTCTGCTCCACCTTAGCAGTTGGCTGTGTGTTAGCCTAGGTGGATAGGATAGCATACTTTTCGGCCTCAGCATCAATCTCCTGCAGAGTCTCGTCAAAAGAGTCGGCAGCATTAACCTCGGCTATAGAGATGGCCTTTGATGATAAGGGGCTTGTGGATACATCAGGTCCAAAACCTGATCGTTAAGGGTAGGAGACTTGGGCCCACTAGTATTTGCTTCTTTAGCTTTAGAAGATTTGGCCCCAACAACAGCATTAGTGTTGATCTCCTTTTCTACTTCATCTTCCTTCTCCTCCTCGGATTGGGCTAGGAAATGAGGGAATGACACTTAGAGTTGGCTAAGATCCCGCAGAGGAGAATCCTTGGGCACTGAAAGTTTGTCTAAAGTCGTCAACCAACCAAGAAAGAAGCCACGGTTGCAGGCCTGGCTGACTTGATTCTTGTACTGTTCTCTGACATCAGCTTAGCCCTTAGCATATGTCTTTTCATCAGCTGTTTTGATCTCGGCATCCTTGGAAGTGAGAGCCTCGGCAAGAGCCATCTCGGCCTTGGCGACTTTCTCGATAGATGCCTTGGCTTTAGCTTCTGCATTTTTCTTAACCCTCTGGCCAAGTTGCACTTGTCCAGCAACATCGCCCTCGCCGTCTCGGCTTGGTTAAGACGGTGAAGGTAATCAATGGCCCCTTGGGTTTTCCTCTGGAGATCTTTCTTCATTAACTCAGCCTTGTAAACAAAGGCATGAGCATGCTGCATGAACTGCAAAACGGAGAAGATACATTAGTATAGCAGTGAAAATAATTCTAAGTATGGAAAATAATGAACTGAAAATAGAAAAATCACTTACCATAATAGAGTTCAACATCATATAGGCGAAGTGCTCGTACTCATTAAAGTCACTAATGGCTTTCATGTCGATGGAAAGAAGCGCGGCTGATGACAGGGCAACGGCGATCTCGAGCTGGCGAGCTACACTCTTACTTAGCTTGATGGGGCGACCATCAATGGTAATGTCGGGGACGAATACGTCAAAAAGGTCATTGGCGGTAGAGGACTTTTATTTTTTTGGTGGTGGGACATCGGCGAAGTCAATAGAGGCTTGCCTCTTCTCGGCCTCAGCAAGTTTGGATATCGGGACTTCATGTTCAGGATCATTCTCTTCAGAAGACGGCGTGATAGTGACCTTGGCCTTGGCCTTGGCTTTTCTTACCTTTTTGGGCTTCTAAACGGAGGAAAGAGATGGGATTGATTGAGCGGTCACCACGTCGGGTAGACCGGAGAGCAAATCATCAGCAACGATAGGTTTTTGGCGCATTTCCTCTGATAAGATAGCAATGGTGACACCGGAGCCAAGTTTGAAAGTAGAAAGAGTAATTGGTTAGTTGACGGGATCGTACACTGGCTGATTGAGGCGTCTCCTGCTCCTAGTTCTACCTACAGGAACGTCAGAGGGACGTCAGCGTCGTTTGTGCTCTGATGGTGGAATATTCTATGATGGAGCTGACGTTGACAGTTGATCAACTGGTTGGGAGCTAGAACCTTGATCTACCTAGGGAGAGGCAATTGAGGTTGATGTAGAAAGAGTCTTACTTTTTCATGGAGTGTCAGGAGATGTGATTTGTAGGTTGTTGTATAGTTCAAAAGGAAAGGAGCTTTTCTGATCTTGATGGGCAAATCAAAGAGCCTTTTAAGATCGGCTCGGGGAATGTAGACTTTTCAAAAAAATTTGTCAGGTTGAGGAAGAGCTACAAGAAAATAATGTATGGCCAATAAAACAGTGAAACAAAGAGCCTAAACAGATAATGTGCTAAAAGTGCATGTTCTAGAATATGACTTACTCTTGTGATCTCCTAGGATATTTTTGGGGAGTAGCAAAAGGTAGAGAACATTGTATTGAGCAAACTCTCAATTGCCCGAGACGATAAGGTAGTCCTCCCCAACACACCCTTATTGAAATTAAGGAGGTTGGTAATCCGCTTGTATGCTGTGGATCTTGGCTCTAGGTAGTAGGTAATGCCATTTTTTTACTCAATGGCACACATAGTGTAGTAGTACTGGACGTCTTGGAGGTTGAGTTGGGCTCTATGTCGGCAGTTAAGATTGACTATTCCGTTGATTACACGGAAGGTAGAGGAAACAAGATATCTAGGGTTCATAGGGTTCAGCTTATAGAAGTGGAGCATTTCTCTAAACAGGATATCTAGAGGAAACCTAATTCCCCCTTTAAGGATAGACACCACAGGGAAGGGCATATTGTCTTCTCCTGGCATTATGGAGTCATTTTTTCCAGCTAGTCTAATACAGCCATCAGCAAGGATGTTAAACTCTGGAAGGCTTCTATTTGGGCAGGACTATAAGACTATCTACCCTCCACTTGTGCATACCCATGATCTCGGCTTAAGTGTTTTTTTGACTTTTTTCAGAGAAAATGGGTTTTGAGTGGGTTTAAGGACCTCGGCTTGGTTCCACTAAGTAAGGAGTTAATGATTTTGGGATCATGGAAAAGGCTTGAAGGCAAAATCTGTTTCAATTTTCTTAGTGTATACGGTTTTAACAAGTCCCAAGCCTAGATCTAAGGAGCACTGGAAGAATAGGCAAGAATCTAAGAAATGTATGAACAATAAGGATTCAGAATTGAAAAATACACACAAGAATGCAGGCAGAAACTCAAAGTAGGACAAACAAGCAAAGAAAACAAGGTTCAAAGCTTGAAATAAGGAAAAAAAAATAGCACATATTTCATATGGTTCAAGAACTCAGGAAAAAGTAAAACATGTTCAAACATATTTGATGAATTGAGAGCAAGAAAAGGTGATTCAGTACTAGTGTGTAATAGTGAGAGAAGATGTGCGAAAAACATATACAAGGGCATGTACAACAACAGAACAGAGGTTTGGGCCATCAAATGGTGATATAAATACAACTACCAGTGTAATTTGTGTGGTGTGCAATAGTTGAAAACAGAAAAATAATCAAGAACAAGGAGGAAAAATCGAAAATGAAACCAAGAAAAATTAGGGACTTACAGAATATGAGTAAGGAAACAAGCCCCGAAGATGTGTTCACCGGAGTCAGTAGATGCGTTTGGCCAAAACAGACTGACGATTTGATCGCCGGAGACAATGAACATCAACGGTCGCAGAGAGGCTTCAAGGTTTGGCTATGGAGTCTAGAGAGAGAAGATCTGAGCGAAGAGAGAGAAGGAGATGAATGGGAAAATGAAAGGACGGAAGAGAGAGGGGAAAGTTTTGTTAAAATTTGAAAAGGCGGCAAAACTGGCCTAGGACAACGTGCCTGTTAGATGGCGTGTAAAAGAAGTGAAGGGGCATATCTGATGTGTGACGGTACGAAACAATAGGGAAAGGACACATGAGTAAAATGGTTGAGGCCATTGTGTATGACAGCTCATGCGTAGTTGAAATTCTTGAACTAGTGGGGCAAAGACCTCAGCTAGCGAAGCAATCTTGGCGGAGATGTTTAAAAAAAAAAAAAAACTTGATTATTGACTTTCGCTAAAATGGGTACCTGAGTATCTCTAACATGTTGTTTAGCCGACATGTTAGAAGATGAAATGATGCAGGTTCCATTACTTCAGATTGGCGAGGTAATAGAACCTATGGGGCAATTATGGGAAGGTATTTCAGGAATGACGCCATGTAGACGTCCCCGAACGCCCCGGGAGGAACGAGCTCCCGTTCTGTTCATTTAGGGTCACTACAGCTCAGGACTCTCAATTTTGTCAAATTCTTGAACTAGTGGGGCAAAGACCTCAGCTAGCGAAGCAATCTTGGCGGAGATGTTTAAAAAAAAAAAAAAAACTTGATTATTGACTTTCGCTAAAATAGGTACCTGAGTATCTCTAACATGTTTAGCCGACATGTTAGAAGATGAAATGATGCAGGTTCCATTACTTCAGATTGGCGAGGTAATAGAACCTATGGGGCAATTGTGGGAAGGTATTTCAGGAATGACGCCACGCAGCCGAGGTGCAGTTGAGATGTCAGCCGAGGCACCACATGGGCGAGCTTGCCGAGGTGGTTACGGTGTTGCCGAGATATGGTGTGGCAAAATTGGAATCCAAGATATCTGGATAGAGGACAAGAATCCTAAATGAGAAGAGGCACTTAGTTCGAATAAGGATAAGGCACAAGGTTGGTTTATCCATATCTAACTAAGAGTTTGAAATAAGCATTATACTTGAGTACTATGAAGTGAGACTTCTAGGGGACAAGGACACTAGAGGCTATAAAAGATAGGCACCCCCGTGGGTCGAAGGTATGCTTTATTTTGTGACTTTAGTACTTGTGTGATATTTTGAGAGATAAGATTGACTGATTTGATCGTTGAAGTGTCCCCGAGTGGACGAGCCACCATGGTATTCTCATTTCCTTGTTGGCAGATGGTTGACTTAATTTATTTTGCCGCGTGTTCTCCAGTTAAGTTCCATATTTGGTTATGAGGTCGGAAATCAACGCCTACAAGTCCTTTCAGCTCAACACTGACCATCATCTGTTCCTCTTCATTACTGATATATATATATTTTTTTGATTGTTGAGAACACATTATCGATTATTGATGATAGTAATTTTTTTTTAAGAAATTATATATATATAATGGTGCAGTTTAATGAGGACTTTTACTTTAAAACAAAATATTATGAAGATTATTTTTATTTATAACAATATCAATATCACATCATTTTTATAATAATTATATGTATAAATAGAATTTTTCTTCAAAAAAGACAAACGCCACATTTTAATTGTTGAACTAGCTCATGCTATGATTTAATTTTTATATAACATCACCTACTTGCTTTTGTTCTTTATTTATTTTTTTATATAACATCACCTGCTTGCTTTTGTTCTTTATTTAATTTTTATATAACATCACCTACTTGCTTTTGTTCTTTTATTTGATATAATAGTCATAGAAAAAAGAAAGGCGACTAATAGTGAGAGTTGAAAGGCCCAACTGCTTGCTCCTACTTGCTTCCTATTGCTTTGCAAGGAACAAATTGAAGCGCTTGGCCTCTGTTTGTTTGCTGGCTCAATGGCTTCTCCAAAAATTTTGTGCCACAATCGAAAGCGGTGCATCGGTGCTGGTAGTTGACAGACTACATGTCAGTGAACCGCTAATTAAGCTAACCCAGGGCTTCCATTTGTGCTCTGGAAAGCTTCTGTTTTGGAATTCATTTTCTACATACTCCTGGCAGTTGCTCATGAATTCGTTTTCAATCATTTTCTCCTCTCTCGTATGTACTTCATTTGTTCCTTTTTCTTTAGTAAGGTTTTGGAGAGAGTGATTCTTAATTTCGTTGGTCCAATCAATGGAAGCATGCCAGGTATTCGCTAACATTCCTATAAGAACATTCGCTATGTTTTTTCTTTTCTTTTTTACCCTTGACTGTTTACTTTGTTTTTGGTAGAAGCTGTTTGCTACCTTATTTCAAACATGCCTTGATGAGATGCTATATTTCTTTTGGATCTTTTATTGATATATTTGTGTGGTACTCGTCATGTTCAAAGTTCTAAATATATATATATATATATATTGCTGATGAAAACAAAAAAAATTATTTCTCAGTTATAAAAGTTATTACATAGGTATTTCCTGATACACGCCATTGCTTTTGTTTGTGGCATGTGTTGAGAAAAATTCCTGAAAATCTAAGTCATATAGCGAACAGGTCTGAAAATTTTATGTTGAAATTTAACAAATGCATTTACCAATCTTGGACAAATGAAGATTTTGAAAAGAAATGGTGGAAAATGGTTGATAAATTTGAGCTCAGGATTGATGAATAGCTTCAATCACTCTATCGAAATCGTCAGAAGTGGGTTCCTGTTTGTATGAGTGGTACCGTTTTAGCTGGAATGTATGTGTATTACTGAGCGATTTGAGTATATATAGTCTTTGTTAAATAAATACATACACAAGGAGTCTACGTTTAAGGATTTTATTGATTAGTACAAAGTTTTTTGCACGATAGGTGTGAAGAGGAAGCCAGAGCTGATTTTGAAACACATCACAACCTGCCTGTGTTAAAATCTCTATCTCCTTTTGAGAAACAGCTGTCAACAGTTTATACACATGCAATACACAAGAAATTTCAGGTTGAGGTTTTGGGAACGGTTGCTTGCAGTCTGCGAAAGGAATTTGATGCTTTCTTCTTGCAACTCTTTGTATGATTCTTTCTTTTTCTTTTTTTCAAATCTTCATTTCTAATTTGCTTCATTTCGTGCTGTTAGGTTATTGTTGGATACTACATGGGTTATGTTGAAAGTTGAAGTGTTAAGAGTTTATTATTGATTTTCTTTTAGGTAGTATTTTCATTTTCGTAAGTGTCTGTTTGTTTTTTCACTTCTTGGTTCTACTAGCAATCTAATATTCGTAATTTGCAATTTGATTCTTGGTTCTTCGAACATCGATAGGAACCAGACCTTGGTAGCTTTGATAATATTAGTACATATAAACAAAAGGGAACGAAAATTAAAATGTGTTTTTGCTTTTTTCAGTGTTAGAAAATATTAATAGGTAATCATTGTTGGTGGGAGATTTGATTAGTAACTTTAAATAATTGTATAGTTGGGTGTATTCAGCCACCATATAGCATTGTTGCTGATACAATTAGTTTGTGGTTTAGATTGTTGCTATTGAATTTTTTATTTTGTGAATAAATAGAATGTTGAATGTGGCATTAGTTTTGCAGCATGTCAGCAATCCATACACAACCATCTTTATGCAGTAGATGGATCATAGTTGAATTTATGTTTTGTAGATAGTTTATTGAAGGTCATGGTATTGCAGGGCATGGTAGAAAGTATTTTCCTTTAATATAAGGTAATTTTATTTATGGAGATAAATATAGGGAAGATAGTGTTTTGAATACAATTAAGGTTATTGTTCCATGTGGGAAAAAAAATTCATGGCTTTTATTTCATTGAGTTAATTACTCTGTGTTCTATGATTGAGGGAATAGTGAAAGATATATTTTCTAACCAATTTAAGTGAATAAATATATTATATTTCCACTCAAAATAAACCACCCATTGAATTAGGATTATGAGTACAGGCTTATGCTCTGTTTGGTTGCTCAAAAAGTAGAAAAAAAAAAAGTATTTCAAATCTTATATCTCTCAGTTCCAGTGTTTTAAAAAGCGCGCACCTAGGCACTAAGCGAGGCGAGGCGCAAGGGCCGTGCTCAAAGTAGGCAAGGCGAGGCAAGTTGCAAGAAGCGCGCTAAGGCGCTAAGGCGTGCGCCTTTCGATTAGGCTCAAGGCACACGCCTTATGCGCTTCGCCATCGATTGATCTGTTTTGTGTTTGTCTACTAGCCATTGACTGATCTGAACTTAGACATTGACTAGACTCAGCTTCTTCAGGTTCGTCTTTGCTTCTTCTCTTCTTTCTCTACTTTTTCTCTTCTGCTTCGTTTTCTCTTCTCTTCTCTTCTTTTGTTGTCTTCTCTCTCATTTTTGTCTCGCTCACGATCGCTCTCTCTCTCGCCTTCTCTCTCGTGATCGCGTTCGCGATTTCTCTCTTTATCTTCTTGATTCATATATATATATATATATAATATACTTATAGATAATATATAAAATATAATTGATTCATATATATAATATAATACCTATTATATAATATATAATATACTTACAGATAATATATAAAATATAATATATACTTATACATAGTAATAAAAAAAAAAATAAACGCATATATGTAAAATAAAATAAAAAAATTAATTGAAACACATTATTTAAAAAATATAATAAATAAATAAAATAATATATATTAAAAAAATTAATTGTTTTTTTTTCTTCTCCTCTTCTCTTCTTATTAAAAAAATTGATAATATACATATTAAATATTTGTTTATGTTGAAAATTGTGCTATATTAATATTTTGCTTAACTTCTATAACTTGTGCCTCACTTTGGTGAGGTGCGCGCCTCGCCTCGTGCCTCGGTGCTTAGGCTCCAAGTGACCTTGACGCCTTGATGTGCCTAGAGCTTTTTAAAACACTGCTCAATTCTCAGTATACCAACTGAGGGAGAAGAATTTTTTCAATCAATGGAGCGTTATCCTAGGATTTGGTTAATGGGAATCCTGTTACAACTTGCATGGAATCCCATTTTTAGTAATAAGATCCTTATGTTAATAGTTTTCAAAGTGTTTGGTTTAGTTAGAAATTGTTCATGGGAAAATAATAAATTTTAAATATTATGGGCCCTTATTTTTTTTTTAACTCTTAGAATCACATGAGGGTGTAGGAATGAGAGATTCCCACTTAGTGTTTTAATCTCATTTTGCATTGGAAAGGTAACTTTGTCATGCAACCAATAGTTACAATTAGATTCAAATCAAGAGAGTGAAGAAATGCCCAATTTGGGATAAATTAGAGAGAAATCAGAGCACTTTGCTCGAATCAAATCTATGTTCTTTTGGGGGGGAAAAAAAAAAGAAGTAAGTACAATGGTTTTTACATCACCTATTTATAGACCGCAACTAACAAGTTAGTTAACAAACACTTACGCTGTGTTTGGTTGGGGAATTTGAGGAGATATTTAGAAAAGAAAAGAAAAGAAAAAAGGTGTATGAAACTAGGTGAAATGTAAATATATTTTATTCACGTTTCACTTACCTATTCCCTTTCCCTTTCCCTTTCCATTTCCAAATCCTTCTCCAAATCTCCCAACCCGTTAAGGAATTTATTTTACTACATCACATGGATTATCTAGACAACAGAATGGAGCCCTGGAATGTCTTATTCTGCTCCTTCATTAGTGTTCTTTGCCAATTTTTTTTTTTTTTGGTAGTCAATTTACCATTGTCTATTTTGAAGCTGATGTGATTTTTTTTTTCTTGTTTGGATTTATGTCAGCACTTGCTTCTCACAGGTTATTTGATGTCCATGTGAAGGCTATTGGTGGCATTCATACTGATGATCATCGCTCAAATGAAGATGTTGCACTTGCCATTGGAACAGTAACCTCCTGAAATTGATTAATCATTATTCCTTTTATGTGATGTAACACAAAAGCTGTAGTAGTGAACATTCTATTTTCCATGCTATCTTCCTTTCTAATTAGTATTCTATTTTCCGGCCATGGGAGGTTTGATGGTAGTTCTCGATCGGTTCAGCGGAACAGCATGGTGGCAGCGTTCCTTACGCGTGCGACACGATTTTTTATGATTTGGATCAGTGTTCTTCAGGCATGCGTCTTGTCTTTAGTTTGTGGTGGAAAAGAAAAGTGTGGGTTGGTGAAATGAAAAGTGATTTGGGTTGAAAAGAAGGGTGTGGCTGGTTGAAAAGAGGAGTGCAGTAGCACCATGGGTGTTTTTGCTTTGGGCTGTGTGGGTTGATTTTGTGGGATTTCATGTATTTTATTTTTTAGTTAAGTCCTGAACTTTTTTTATTTTCTTGATTTGTCTTTTATTTTTGTTTTTTTGTTAAAAAAATTGTGAGGTTGAAGGGTTAGTAGTATGGATGTGAGTAGCAGTAGTAGGAGTAATTTGTATTTTCGAATTTGTCTCGATGTATGTCATCTTCCTGTATCTTTAATTTCATGCTGTTAACGAAATTTTTCTTTGCCGATCAAAAGAAAAAAAAGAATGGTGTATTATATTTTTGTTATCAAGGATCATCTTAGGGTTTTAGGAATTGCTTTTATTGCTGATTTTGTATCATTAATTTGGTGATTTTTTTTTTGTTTTTTTGTTTTTTGTTTTTTGTTTTTTTGTTTTTTGTTTTTTGTTTTTTTTTTTTGGGGGTGGGGGTGGGGGTTTCTTTTTACATGTTGAACTGTATGTCCATATGCTATGTAGAAAGTAATGAACTGATCCACTTCCCGACGGGGTCTAAAATTTGGGTCTTAAAACTTTTACTTTACTGGTTAACACAAGCTTTACTCCAGGCACTTGGTGATTGAAAAGGAATTAACAGTGACGAAGCACTAATACATGTTTCATTGGTATGTTGCCGCATATATGGAACTTATTATCAATGGATTTCTATAAAATAATTGATTAGATCACACTAAGGGCTCATCTGGTGCTTTGTTGCGGTGGTTTGAATGCAATGCTTGATTACCAAAGTGCTTTATGTATTCTTGGTTGCACTAAATCACTTTGAGATAACAAGAAATAGAGACTAAAATCTCTTCTTGGTTACAGGTCATTTTACTTTTACAAAAGCTCTTCTCAAAATCTACTTTAATAAGAAACCACTGTACTGTCATATGGATCCTGTGTGTGTGAACTGTGAACATGGAATCCTTGATTGCTTGCGGAAAATATTAGTAAGTGTTATACTATATGTACGCATGGACATTGACAAGTGTATCTAGAAGGAATGAAATCTAAGATTCTTTGAAGTGGTATATCAATATTGTTGATTCAAATGAATGCAGAGAAATTGAGCCTATGTATGAAATCCACTAGATTGTCACTTTTGCCTTCTTATGTAGTTCGAACTAAAAGAGGAAAAAGAAAAGATAGAAAAATTCTGCGTTCTCTAATATTTGAAATAATATATTCTTTTGTTACCTTAATGTTTACAAATTTCATTCTAAGTCTTTGTTAGTTGGCAAACCTTTATTTTTACGTGTGGCATACATGTGTGTACAAAGATTTCTCGAGTATATTTTCACACCTTTCATGTATTCATATAATATCTTAAGTCTAAACATATTGTCCCAACCAACCATGTGAGTACGAGCGTGGGGGCCAACTAGTGGGATAGAAATATTCATTATATTGGCTTTGTTTAGGTTGGTTTTTTTAATTGATTATTTGGTTTTTTGATTATTTTATCTTGGATAAAAAAAGTTGTGTTTGAAAAGTTAGTAGGCTTTTTTTGTAGATGATTTGATAATTGTGAGAGAAAGAATAAAATGATTATGGATTGGATGTAATGTTTTATCTTATTGATTATTTTAGTCTATTTTATCTTTTAATGGGCTATTTTAATCCAATTATCTTCCTAAACAAAGCCAATGTGTTTATTCCACGCACACGCATATATATATATATATAAATAAAAATTGGGTTGATTATTATTATTATTTTTTCCAAGATGACAGATAATATGCTAATATTTAAATTTCAACGCATGTTAATATTTTTTATAGAAAAGTATGAAATTTCACTCACCTTATGATGTAGGACAAGATTTTAAGAATTTTTATATTTTTAGTTTTAATATTTTTGATATATTATTAGGATTCCTGTAATTTAGTATAAATATTTTAGAATTATTAGGTTTCTTAAATTTGTTATTTTGGAATTAGATTTTGACTAGGATTTTAAATAGTTTAGAATTTTAAATTTCTATTCTCTTAAGTTTCCTAATTTGTATTGATTTAAGTTTCCTAGTTTATTTTAGAATTACTTTTCCTATAAGGATTAGGTTTAGTTTATTATAAATAGCTATGTAAGCCTCATGGCAAAGACAACTTTTATTCATTCAATCGATAATATTAAGATATTTTCTCTTTCTTGTGGATTCAAGGTTTTATTTTTCTCGTGGATTCGAGAGCCCCTTTCATCTACTAGAACGATATCTAGTCCCCATGTATTCTGCTGCGTCAAGTGGTATCAGAGCATGGATTTGCCTAGCTCGATGACACAAGACAATGGAGAACACACAATCCCTATTAACGTTGATCGTAGGGTGGAAGCCATATGAGATACGATTGAGGAGCATCGACTAGAGGTGCATGAACTTCGCAATGAGATTTGTAATCTACTTGCTGATTTGGGATTAATCGTCAACCAGAGGCAACCGATAGTTGACAGCAATTGCTCCGGAGGATTCACCCGAGACCAACATGTTAGCTTACGTTATTTTGCACAAATTTCATATTTTAACGGTTCAAGTAATTTCAAAAAGAAGATTTTCTTGATTGGTAGCTTGATCTTGAAAATTTCTTTGAATTCAAAAAGATTCCTCATGAAAAGAAAGTTATATTTTCATCCTACAAACTTGATAAAATTGCATTGAAGTGGTGGAATGGATTACAAGATTATCGAGTTTGCAAAGGTAAAGACAAAATTCATTCATGGTTAACAATGAAAAAGATTTTAGCATCAAAATTTTACTTTCATGATCATAAAGATATATTGTCATATACAAATCAAAATACTTCCATAGAGTTGGTAAAAATTTGCAATGAAATTGTAGTTGCGAAAGAGAAGAATTCTCGTCCAAATATTATTTGTGGTGAGATTACTTGTAAAACTAATGAAAAAGATACAAAGTCTTGTTCGAGTGTTGATAATGTATCAACACATGGTAATTTGAATACTGGGGAGAAAGTTTTACAAACAAGTCATAAAATTATTGAAGAAGACGGAGATTTGATTGAGCCTAGTAGCAAAGAGAAAATAAAAGAAGAGATAATACAATCGATGTGTGCAACAAAGAAATTGGTTGATACTATACTTGATATTCCAAGGTTGATAATTGAAGGATCAATTGAATTTGGGATGGTGCAACATCAAGAGAGCATGCAAGTTCTACATAAAGTAAATTTGGTTGATTTTCTTCGTATGAAGCAATTTAATTTGACTTTCAATACTTGTCTAATTAATCTTGTCAACCAGTTGAAGCATATAGAGAATAACTTTCAAAAAGTAGACTTCTCTGCATATAATTTATGGAAGAGAAACAAACATCTAAAGTATTCCAAGTATCTTTTTATTTGGCATGGACAATGGCAAATCTCTAATATAAACTCGAGGGCGAGTTCTTTCAAAGAAGAGGAGTTTGATGTAGGACAAGATTTTCAGGACAAGATTTTAAGAATTTTTATATTTTTAGTTTTAATATTTTTGATATATTATTAGGATTCTTGTAATTTAGTATAAATATTTTAGAATTATTAGGTTTCTTAATTTTGTTATTTTGGAATTAGATTTTGACTAGGATTTTAAATAGTTTAGAGTTCTAGTTTTCTATTCTCTTAAGTTTCCTAATTTGTATTGATTTAAGTTTCCTAGTTTATTTTAGAATTACTTTTCCTATAAGGATTAGGTTTAGTTTATTATAAATAGCTATGTAAGCCTCATGGCAAAGACAACTTTTATTCATTCAATCAATAATATTAAGATATTTTCTCTTTCTTGTGGATTCAAGGTTTTATTTTTCTCGTGGATTCGAGAGCCCCTTTCATCTACTAGAACGATATCTAGTCCCCATGTATTCTGCTGCGTCAAGTGGTATCAGAGCATGGATTTGCCTAGCTCGATGACACAAGACAATGGAGAACACACAATCCCTATTAACGTTGATCGTAGGGTGGAAGCCATATGAGATACGATTGAGGAACATCGACTAGAGGTGCATGAACTTCGCAATGAGATTTGTAATCTACTTGCTGATTTGGGACTAATCATCAACCAGAGGCAACCGATAGTTGACAGCAATTGCTCCGGAGGATTCACCCGAGACCAACATGTTAGCTTAGGTTATTTTGCACAAATTTCATATTTTAACGGTTCAAGTAATTTCAAAAAGAAGATTTTCTTGATTGGTAGCTTGATCTTGAAAATTTCTTTGAATTCAAAAAGATTCCTCATGAAAAGAAAGTTATATTTTCATCCTACAAACTTGATAAAATTGCATTGAAATGGTGGAATGGATTACAAGATTATCGAATTTGCAAAGGTAAAGACAAAATTCATTCATGGTTAACAATGAAAAAGATTTTAGCATCAAAATTTTACTTTCATGATCATAAAGATATATTGTCATATACAAATCAAAATACTTCCATAGAGTTGGTAAAAATTTGCAATGAAATTGTAGTTGCGAAAGAGAAGAATTCTCGTCCAAATATTATTTGTGGTGAGATTACTTGTAAAACTAATGAAAAAGATACAAAGTCTTGTTCGAGTGTTGATAATGTATCAACACATGGTAATTTGAATACTGGGGAGAAAGTTTTACAAACAAGTCATAAAATTATTGAAGAAGACGGAGATTTGATTGAGCCTAGTAGCAAAGAGAAAATAAAAGAAGAGATAATACAATCGATGTGTGCAACAAAGAAATTGGTTGATACTATACTTGATATTCCAAGGTTGATAATTGAAGGATCAATTGAATTTGGGATGGTGCAACATCAAGAGAGCATGCAAGTTCTACATAAAGTAAATTTGGTTGATTTTCTTCGTATGAAGCAATTTAATTTGACTTTCAATACTTGTCTAATTAATCTTGTCAACCAGTTGAAGCATATAGAGAATAACTTTCAAAAAGTAGACTTCTCTGCATATAATTTATGGAAGAGAAACAAACATCTAAAGTATTCCAAGTATCTTTTTATTTGGCATGGACAATGGCAAATCTCTAATATAAACTCGAGGGCGAGTTCTTTCAAAGAAGAGGAGTTTGATGTAGGACAAGATTTTCAGGACAAGATTTTAAGAATTTTTATATTTTTAG